AAAAAAAAAAAAAAAGACAATGGAGGTGTTGTTATAATTTTTACAGGAGTTAAATCGAAAGATTCAATCTCCGAATCGTATCTCAAGGAAAGTTAGCCGGATTATTTCGTATGTTTACTCAATCACAATAATAATAATAATAATAATAATAATAATAATAATAATAATAATAATAATAATAATAATAATAATAATAATGACAATAATAATAATTTCTTAAACATTCTAATTCAAGTTTTGGAAAGAATAAATTACTAACTAAAAAATAACATAAAAATAATCAAGTAAATACTAACAATTATTAAAGTGCTAGGGAATCGGGAATAAACGTTTTGAATAGTAATGCAATTATCGGCAAGTGATCATTCGGTTAAAGAATTCGAGTCACCTACACGTTTAGAGGATCATACATGAAAATAAATATAAACAGTAAATTAACGATCTTTTTTTAACACATAGACAATACCTTTCGGAACAAGTCTATTTTGTACGAGTTTTAATCGATCAACCCCTCCCATTTCGGTTCAAGAGTCGATTAGAATAAACTAGAAAAGATTATTAGTTGTCTTAGTTTATTCGGATCTTGATCGTCATAATGGAATAAATAATATTCAAATATAAAAACAAGTTTAACATTGAAGTGTCACTCTTCAATACTTAGAAATCAATTAGCAAGGTTGAAATGTCACTTTTCAACAATATTTATTCCAACATTGATGGGTTTCTTCTCAGATCTGGAACGGTCCAATGGGAAAACGTCCGGATCTGGGACGAACCGGTGTGAATGAGCTTAGATCTGATATGATGCCGCTCGAACCGTTGTTGTTGAGCCGCAAGAACACCTGCAAGAACTCAACGCCGGAGGGGTTTCCGGCGTAGAGCCTCCGACGCTCAAGTCAGTATATGAGAGAGATGATGAGAGCTGCTATGAGAGCAGCAGCAGTAATGGAAAGGGTATGGAATGAATGGGAGTTAGGGTTTTGGGATTACCTCAGTCCTTTATATAGGAGTACAATATATACCTGAAGTCCCCAAAGTTCCCCGACCGACTTAATGGAAATGTCCAGAATACCCCGGTCGGTTCGTATTCCGCCTACTTCCTAGTCAGCATCTAGATCCTTCCTTAGCTTCCTTCTTATCCTTAACTCTTCTTCAATATGCTGAGGTGTGTCACAGCTATCGGGAACCACGAGCTACAACTCCCTCAGTCGACCTGAGATATTGCGTCGAGTTGACTGGGTCGCATTCAACTGTTAGTAGACCCTAATACGTCTGACCGTTGTCTTACCAGAGGTCGACTTATTCTAGTCGACAGGTGTACATTGACTCGGTCGAGAGCCGGGCTCCTTGACTGAGTATCATGGAACCTTACTAATAGAGTCGACTTTGCCGAAGTCGACTTGGTAGTCTCGAACCGTGACGATATGAACCGCTATGAGCCAATTGTGGCAATGC